AAAAAAAAAAACTGTAGTACAAGGTAGAGTACAGGAAATTCCATGATAGTAGTTTTAATAGGCATGTGCTTGTATTACCAGAGACTTTACTGATTGCAAGTGACAGAAATCCAGATTAACTTAGGTTAATGACATCTAGCCTCAGAGATGGCTGGATCCAAAGGCTCAGGTGGAATTTTCAGAGTTCTGTCTCTCTTTATATTTCTTTAGCTCTCTTTCCTTCTGGGTGCTGACTTCATTCTTGGACAGTCTCTTTCCTTGAGTTGGGAAATTTCCCTGTGGAAGCTCCAGGCCTGTGTCACTCTTCAGCTACGACCCCAGAGACAGAGAGACTGTCTCTCCCCCCAGCATCCATTTGTTTAATCGTAGGGAAGATCCTCATTGGTCTAATTGAGGCCACACGTGCATCTCTAAGCCAATCATCATGGCCTGTGGGATGGAGTTCTCTGTCTATCCAGAGTCATCAGTCCACTCCTGTACGTGAGGGCTTGGAGGGCTGGAGGGGGAGAGGTGGGTTCCTCCAGACAATGCACTAGGGCCATGTGGGATTTATGAGATGGGGTTCGTCAAGGCAGGGAAGCGGAGAGGAAGGTCGGGAATGCATTCGGTGTTTTAGGAGGTAAAAGTGACTTCTTATGCAATGTGAGCCTGGATGTGACTGTTCTTGCATAATGATGACACCAGCATCCCTGTGGCTGTGACTATAAGGGTGAAACACCTTTGAGAAATAGCAGATACATTTCCAAGGCAGTCTTAACTCTCTACACTGGTGATAACCCTGAAAGGGAAGAAAAACTGAAATTGTTAGGTGAAAGAGTGGTCGAGGAATAGGAAAAGAAATGAGACCCGGATCAGGCACGGTTTCTTCTCAGTTATGCTCCCTTAGCTGTATTTTAAAAAAAGTTGGGGCTAGGGTGGGTGCGGGGCCATCACCTCAGCCACCTGGTGAGGTTGGATGGACGTCACCCATTCTCGCATGTCACTGCCAACGCTCCGAGTCACCGGCATCCACCCTCTGCTTTGTTGCAGTTTCATTGCAAATCAGAAAAGGTTAGAAATCATCAACGAAGATGACGTGGAAGCTTATGTGGGACTGAAAAACCTGTGAGTACTCAGGACGTGTGTCCGCCTTCTCAGAGATTTTGTTCTGTCCTCTGCTGTGGTCAGGTGGGCATTCACTGGTTGGTTCTAATATGCGTGTAATTATATGTTTTCATAGGACGATTGTGGATTCCGGATTAAAATTCGTGGCTTATAAAGCATTTCTGAAAAACAGCAACCTGCGGCACATGTAAGTAGAGGTTGATTTTTTTGCTTCCCAGGACCCGATTTTTTCAGTATTTTCCCCTTTGTTTATTTTCCTTCTTTTCCAACTCTAAACCTCCTTTTATAAAGTTGGTATAGCTGTGATAATAGCTTAGAAACATTAGCTTTGATTTTGTTTCATTTCTGAATAGCTTCAGAGGGGTACTTAGAACAGCCTGTTTATTCCCTTTCATGAATTTCTGGACCATTTCCATCTTGGACAGAGCAATAGGCCAGCAGCAAGGAGTCTGATGTGAAAACTATGTCCTTGTACAGAGTCCTTGATTCTTTTCCTTGGAATCATGACATGTTCCCTGGAAGACATCAAACTAGTGGAGTTGAAAGAAGCTGACTTGGCTTTGGCCTTTTTAGGGGAACTAAAAATTACTCATGCTCCCCTGCACCCGCCCTCCCAGGTCCTCTTTTGAACCTTCATTTTCCCAAAGTGGAGGAAAATCAATCATGGGGCACGCTGAAGGTTTAGACAATTATTAACTCACAATAGGAGATGTTTCCCCCAAAGTCATGTTGATGCTTTGTCGACTGAAGTCTAATGGAAACATGGAAAACGGGAGCTATTAGGTTGTTTGCTGCTAAATGCTCTAGATGACGGTGTTTAAGTCAAAAAGGTGTGGCCTTCCTGAGAGGTTCATTCATGAAGCAGATGCTCACCCAAGTGAGGAACATATGTGTGCCCCTCAGCTCAGACTGGTGTCCCCTGCCCGAGCTCTCGGGAGCTTCTGCTGGAGGACGGCAGCCTGTGTTATTGGCCCTGTTCTCGCGTCCCAAGTTCTCTGCAAGGATACCTGATGGGTCTCATCACCTACAGTTTTTCTGTAGGACTCTCACTGCATATTTTTACTTGATATGTTTCTGACAAGTGATAGGGAAGCTTTTTTTCCCTCTCATTTTATAGATAAAATCAGGCTGAGGAAGTTCTAGAGCTTGCCCAGGTCTGCAGATTGTAAGTGTAGAAGGGAGACCCCAGAGCTCAGTCCTCTCCACGTTCTCACAGTAGGTGAACAGGGAATAAAATCTGTGCCGTCCCTATAATTAGAGAATCAACCCTTCTTGTAACATTTGTCCTCTTTCTTTTCCTGGGGAGAACAGTTCCCCCACTGATTTGCGTGCCAGCTAGAAAAGAAATCATTCTCTTAGAGCAGATTGCCTGGATACTCTATGGAGATTTGTTGATATTATGGAAAACATTAACTTCATAAAGTTGTATCATGGCTTCATATTTTATAGGTAGCATTAGAGATGAAGTCACTTTAAAAATAAAGTCGGTAGATTTAAGATACAACATTCTGCAAAAATGTGATAAAACTCCAAGGAACTTTATTAACACATTTCATTGAAATGGTTTTTGGCTTCATCTCTGCAGTCAGTTTGCCTGTACAAATCTGATGTCTGCGTAGGCCTTGATAGCATAAACAAGAGAGAAGTTGGATAGAAGAAAAAGACAAAATGCTCTAATGCAGTCACTTAAATGTAATTAATGACCTCAATGGTTAAGTTCTGGTATTTTCATTACAGCTGACCTTAGACCCAAATTACTCAACAACCACATTTTACTGGCTGTTTTATCACGTCACTTTTAATGTCGTGATTTGTTACAGTGGGCTATGGTTAATTGTAGTTTTAATAGACTTATTTATTACTTTACTGAACTTCTTATATTTTCCTTGTTGCATGCTATTTATATGAATACAAAAGCCACCTTGTGTGTTTTTTTCATGCTGATATATGGTAGAATTATTCTAAGGGCATTCTCTGTGTAATACTAGCTTCTACAAAGCCAAATATCTGTTCTTCCCTCCCAAAGATGTATCATTTGAAAACTGAAAACTAAAGAGACATGCATATCCTATATGGTTTCCTTAAGAGGCGACAATCAGGATCCAATCATAGATCAAACTGCAAAAGCTCTATTGATCTTTGTAGCCATTGTCAAATGGTAAAACAGAGTGAAGTTACAAGTATTCAGGCAGGTATGAGGAAGTCCTCAAATGTCAGTAAGCTTCATATATTCACACAGTGAATGAGGCTCTTAATCGCCAAAATATGAAATTAATTAAGTTGTTTGCTTTTGAGAATGGCAGGGAGGAAGGAGGGACTCAAGTCAGGTGTCTGCCTTTCCAGATCTTGGTCCCAACCTCTGCTTCTGATTGAAGACTCTGGAGACCACCTTGTTCTTTGCTGATTGCTCACATGTAAATTGCACTCTTATGTCAAATATCAGCACAGTGGGGTGTGTGCAAGGGAGCTAATAAGGAAATGTGTATTAAAAGCTGTCTCTTTCTGCTCCGGCACAGACTGATTATCTCTCCTAGTTTCCCCAACAATGCAAAAATTGTACAAGTTCAGTCTATTTTATTCCAGGTTTTAGGGAACTTCAGATGGATCCTCTCTTTCCCCTTTCACTCCTCCCCCTCTTCCCCTGTTCACATCAGCGTTGCACTGTTACTGTCCAGAGCCATGGTCACTGGTCACTGAGCTTAATTCTTGGTGCCTTTAATTCCTGCCCAGCCCCTAAGAATCCAGGGTCTGTGAGAAAAGCCAGTCTTTGTGTTTTCCAGAGGCTTTGCAGAGGTGCTAATTAGCTCCTTTGCAGAGTTCTGTAATCAAACAGTAAGAGGATTGTTGGATTTTTTCCCTCCCCTCTTCCTCCTTTCTGGCTTTTGGCTGCTGTAACAAGTAAGGTTCCTAGCCCTCGTCCTGTGCCTTGGCCCCTCGCCCTGCCCTGCGCCATGCTGCAGACGACCCCGCAGAGGCAGCTGCTCCCAGGCCCGGGCTGGGGAGCCGCAGGCAGCACCTTCACAGGCATCTTCTTCCTCTGCCTCCCCGTTCCTCCTTTTTCTTGGGGAGGAAGAGCAGGGCTTTTTGTTTGTTTTGTTTTGTTTTGTCTCAGAAGGATGGGGATTTCTGATGAAGATGAAAACTTTTGTGCCTTGCAGACTGCAGGCAGACTGACTTTTCAAAGTATCATACTCTAATGAAACCTATTCTTTTTTTTTTTTTTTGTCTTTTGTCTTTTTTTCCGTGTCCGGCAACAGATCGCAACCCTCAGTGTTGCCCCCGTACTGGACTGGGGACCGGCAACGGGATCGCAACCCTCGGTGTTGCTCCTGCGCCTCGCTCAGCCAGTGAGCGGGAGCCGGTCTGTATGTGGGATCCGAACCCTCGACGGGAGCATCGCCGCGCTCCCAAGCGGCGCACTATCCAGTGCGCCACCGGGCCGGCCCGAAACCTATTCTTAATTCACATTCCAGAAAAAAAGATTAGTGTGGACACGTTTTGCAGCTTCCTGGTGGATTGTTTTTTCATGTGGGTGGGCACTTTGCTCTCAGTGTGAAGAGAGGAGGTGCAGGCACGGGAGGATGGAGGGGCCCTGTGCAGGGAGGGGTGTGGATGAGGGGACCTCTCCTGTAGACTTAAGCTGGGAGTGGACACACGCTCTTGACTTATGAGATGCCTGAGATTCGTCAGTGGCCTTGCCTCAGCGCGTGCATTAGCCTCTGGGTTTTAACCCCTCACTGGAGACGACTGGTCAGGCACAGCGACGTACTTCAACCGATGGTTTCGCTGGGCCGTCCCACACAGTAGCCCCAAGCCAGGGGCCAGGTCTACTGCAGCTCCGCGATCTCAGCTTTTCTTCGACTCCTCACTTGCTTTCCTGAGCAGGAAACATACCCTGAAAGGCTCATCGGCTTCCTCCGGCTTGTCCAGGTCCTGGCTGTTTTCATGAAAGTTGCTGTTTGTTTTCGTCTGTGTTAATTACTAAACACATGTCTTGAGGCCCAAGCATTGGACACTCTTTAAATAAATTCAAACAGTAAACAAATACACAAATCAAGTCAGCTGCCAGGATTATGGCTCTGAGTTTCCCACCCCAAAGTCTCATGGCTGTAGTCATTGGAAAGTCCCATCCATTGAATAAAACTACATATTTGGAACATGCCAGTAAATTCATTACTGTTTTTAAAATCACAAATGTGCCATCTTTTCATTCTGGTTAGTTCAGATTTTAAGATGGTATATTGCTAGAACAGTTCAAGATAAAATCTGAAGGATTCCTTGTTATCTGATTTTTTGTGTTCTCATCTTGAAATTATCTAGTTATTGAGGCCATGTAAAAATAATCTCAGCAAAGTCTATCAATCCATAAATGTGTTTTTTCCTATAAAGACACATTAAATTCAGTTAATATTCAGAGTTTTGTGTGCCTCGTAACTTCAAAATATTCATGATGCTGTTTAGTTTTAAAGCATCTTTTTTCTCTAGTGAGTTTATAGTTTTTTAAGTTTTATTTTACTTTACATATCCTATTAATTGTTCTAAAGGTCAGGATCTCTATAAGGCCTATAACTTGGCTCTGAAGCAGCATATGAAAAATACATTTTGGGGTAAAAAAAAGATTAAAAATAGACAGCATGAAAAATATGCCTCTCCCTCCCATAAGCAACGACTGTGGGAGGGACTACAGGAGTGTCTGAGCTGTCACCCCAGAGGAAAGAAAGAGGTGGCTGGATCTAAGTACAGCACGCACAATGGTCCCATAAAGTCACATCTTGAAAACAGAATCTCTGTATGAATACTTTGTTTCTAAAATGTAACATTGTAAATTCACACTTAATGTTTTTTGATTCCCTTCAGCAATTTTACCCGAAATAAACTGACGAGTTTGTCTAGAAAACACTTCCGTCACCTCGACTTGTCTGCTCTGTAAGTAATGCTTGTGTGTGGCGTTTGGGGGAAGTTTTCAAAGGAAAGGGTAATTATGTATCTTTTTTTAAGCGAGTGTGTTGCGGATCTATTTTTATATCGAAATTCTTAAAAAATGATTTCTCAAGTTTGGACCTCTTGTTCTTTTAGTTCCTCATGAAAACATGATTTAGAAACTTAGAAAATAGAAGTCACAATAGTAAAATATCATTTATGATTAGTTTAAATGTGGTCTTAATTTATTATCTAATAGAGGGAAAAAGAGAAAAAAAAGGGGGCTTTGTGTTAAACTCTTACAGCATCTATTACAGCATCTATTTTGGTTTCTGTTAGATTCAAGCCCTAAAGTAAAGCAAACCTGTTCCAGGAGAGGAAACGGCCCCGGGCGACCCCCCAGCTGTCGTGCATCAACCTGGGTGCCGGCCTGGGGAGAGGGAACAGCGGGGGACAGCGTCCTCCCTGCCCTGAGTTTCCGAGATCTTCCTCTAGGCCTGCCACCGCATTCAGTGTTTATCCTTATGTCCTGTTTTCCTCGGCTGTAAAACGATAGGACAAATATTGCAATGTGTCGATGACTAACAGCCAGCATTTCCAAGTGTGCTCAGTTCTTCCTTTTGTCACCATGAAGCAATGTGAGCCATTGCCATTCCTAAGGGTGACGGACCCAAAAGGACTCTAAAGCAGGGCCTTTGAGCAGCAGATGTGGGCCCAGAAGGACGAGCCCTCTGAATTCTAGGCAGTGGCTTGTGCTGACACTGTGTGTTGCTTGAACTGCGGGGTCTTTCTAGGAAGGTCTGTTCTTATTCACAAGGAGGCGGTGCAGATTGGAAGATGCCAGTAAAGGAGAGACAGCAAGTTAACAGGCAGTAATGGGGGTTTACATGGTGAAAGTCTCGGCAACGGGCAATTGTTTGGAATAAACTAAATTCAGGGAGTTGAAGCACTAGTGTTTCCAACACAGAAATAGGCATGAAAGAGTAGAAGATTCATTAAATAGACTAAGGGACTCTGTAAAAATTTTGGGCATTGCTGCATAAAATATTTTTGATGGATTAAAAATCAGAGTTTTGATTTCAAATTCACACCTCAATATTCTCCCTGTAGCACATTCCCTCAATTCATTCAGCAAATGTTAATTGTGTACCTGTTACAAGTCAAACCGGCATAGCACTAGGACATTGGATATAAGGAGAAAAGTTTCTGTGTTCTAGGATTCTGTGATCCAGAGGGAGAGGTAGAAACGATACAAACAAGTGTGATGTGCTGTAGTGACAATTGTAAAAGGTTTGCACAGTGAGCTGGAGGAAGGAGCCACTGTCTGCCAGTGCTGTGAGGTCGTGTGAGCATCTCTGTGTTATCATTGAAACATCCCTTCGCTTCTTCATCCCTTCTGCTGACTTAATTGTACTTTCTTTTTAGAAAGACTCTGTAGTTTTTCACGTACTCAGAACTCCAGGAAACATCTGGATTAGTGGGTTGAGTCCTATTGTGGTGTTGGAGATATACTTGGAGGTGATCAAGCAGACACAAATTAAACGGATCTGTTATGACCACATTTTCCCCAAAGAAACTCTTGGAAAAGTCTCCAGGGATTCCTGAGATTCTTAGAACCCAACCAGAAAACCACAGGAGTAAATGATGTTGCAAAGCCCAGGTCCTGGCCTCACGGAAATCTTAAGTATTGTGGTTAATGCCAGGCAGAGGCTATGTAACGATTTTAAATGGCCTCATTGAAGGGCTCATTTCCATAAATGGAATTCATCTTAAATAGGCCACTGAGTATTATAAATAAGCATTTAAAGATTTTTTTCCTTGTGGTTTTTATTTTCCTCTTGACTGCTTCCTCTTCCACCCGTCCCAGGCGGCGGGAGCCCGGCAGCATGGCTGAGGTCTGAACGGTGGTGGCTTTCTCTTTGCAGACCCTCCCACAGGGACCCAAGCAGCTCACTCTGAGCTCAGTTGCTTTGCTCTCAGAAGCCTTGAGTTTGCCACATGCGTGTGCACGTGTGCGCGTGTGGGCCTGTGTGTGAAGTGGGTCTCTATCACCCTTCCAGGTCTTTCTCTTGCTTTCACTCTGACTTTCTTGCATTGATGAAACTGGCTATGGTTGCATAATGCAGAAAGCTACGGGAGCCGGCCCCCTGGCATGCACACTCCAGTTCTAGCTTTGTACTTACAGCCTCATTTGAAATTGAGATGAAATTGTTCTGCCCCCCCACTGAAGTTTGAGCTTAGTAAATGGTAACAGTTGAGTCTCTAGCTTGGTCAGAAATAAGTATGTCAGCGTTCCTGAAAACTTGCTGTTGGATCTTTGTAATAACCACGATAAACTTGTTACGGCACCTTAGTTTCCCTGTATTATGAGCCATTCTTTTCTATCCTATGTTGTAGCTACTTCTGTTCCTGTCTTGTTTCCTCCATTATTCTGTAAGGTCTTATGTCACTTTGCATTCTTTAGCCTCTACTGCAGTGTTTGCACATAACAGAAACTCCGTAAATATTAGATAAATGGGTGGATAATAAGTGCTGCCACACTGTAAAAGTGGCTATGACTTCCAGAGGTTGCTGGCTAGAAAGAATTCATAATGTGGTAGTATTTTATAAACACTAGTACAGCTAAAATTAAAAAAGGAGCCTGATTGTGTCTCATTTTTGTTCCATGTAGGATCCTGGTGGGAAATCCATTTACATGCTCCTGTGACATTATGTGGATCAAAACTCTCCAAGAGACTAAATCCAGTCCAGAAATTCAGGATTTGTACTGCCTAAATGAAAGCAGCAAGAATATTCCTCTGTCAAACCTGCAGATACCCAATTGTGGTAATTTATTTTTAAATCAATGAGTTCTAGTTGCTATTAATTATTCTAATTGCCTTGGTGTGGTAGAGCATCTGGGAAGATTACCAGTACCCAGATTTTATATAGGATGCTGTTGATGTCTCCGGCGAATCAGGCAGCGTTTGGGTGCTGTGTGGAGAAATCAACCGGGAGCAACTTTGATGAACATTCTCTGCAAGTAGAATATTGATTCTGAATGGATGATTGTAAAGTGCATAGAGAAAAAAGTGTACTGTGGATTCCTGTGTTTGTTTGTATGTTTATTTGTTTATCTGTCCATCTCTCCGTCCATCCGTCCATCCATCCAAAACGTATCCACTAAGAGTGCAGCAGTTCACACTCAGCAGTTTTTACATCTCCTATTTGCCCCCTACTCCTGTCTTCAGCATTTTCATCTCCAGCATTTAAAAGGGCACTGTATGACAGAGTCACAGCTCTCCGTGAGTGCTGGTGTGCTACAGGGAAGGAAAACCAGAGTGTTCTGGCTAGGATGTTACTGCCCTTCCATGACATACCACTGCAGTACCCACATATGCATGTTATTCCTCTGTTAACATTTTCAGCAGTTAGTCAGTCAGTTAACAAGTTCTCAAACAGTATGTTTCATCTTCCAGCCTCGTGGCTGGTGACCTAGGATGTTACTGCCCTTCCATGACATACCACTGCAGTACCCACATATGCATGTTATTCCTCTGTTAACATTTTCAGCAGTCAGTCAGTCAGTTAACAAGTTCTCAAACAGTATGTTTCATCTTCCAGCCTCGTGGCTGGTGACACAGCAGAAAGTCATGGAACACCTGATTCTTGTCCACAAGGAACCTGTGTATGAACCACAAACATCTGATCCTTTGTTTTCGGAAGGCTGTATTGTTGAGGTCCATTTTTATTTGAGAAAAATACTCGTATAGCTGCTGCTTCCTCTTCATGAGAATGTAATAAAAGTAAAGATAGTGTTTGTTTTCTACCCTGGAGGGCCTTACCCTTCCCACAGATTCTTCTGTACAAATAGGCCCTTTCATCCTGGGGGACTCAGGCTTTGTTCTCTTGCCAACTTCCCTCAGATTTGCTAGCTAACATTTAAAAAAACCTTTAATATATATATCTTTTCCTGGCTGATAAGAGAATAGCTATTCTCTGTTCTGGTACAAATTTGCATTGGTGAGAGAAAATGCCTAGAAGGACAAGAAATTCAGTGTTGTGTCACGTGGCCTTCCAAGGCTGCTGTGACCACGCTGGTTCGGCAGCCACTGAGAGGCAGAGAGAGAGAGCATCGCGCCGTCTTCTGTTTCACAAACTGCCTCTTGGTAGACGTCTGCTTTGCCCTTGCCTGAAACCAGTTCTATTTTTCAATTTTAATTTTTGGCCATGTTGTCTTGGCAACATTCCTCCAGTGCGCCCCACCTTGTGTGTCATTGATAGACCATTGTTTCCTGCAAATTAGTCAGAGTAGTGCATGTATGGGAGTGAGATTTTGAATTCGCTGTCAGGAGGGCATGGATTTGATTGATCGATCAAGAGTGAATGGTTATGTTCATGGTGACATTCACAATTCATTTCAATGTCAATGATGCTTTTCAGAAAGCAACGTTTATTATAAAAGAATGTGCCAAGTGCATTGACAGACTTATTTTTCTATCACTTTTATGTTCTTAAGCTGTTTTGTTCTTTCCCTGTTAATTTTCTCTGTTCATTTTTGTTTCCAAGTTTTTGAAAGTGTTTTTTACTTATTTATAATTGCACAAATATATCGACACATTTTGTTGCAAAACTAATCTTGTATATTACACATAAAGCCTGTCTCTTTCTTGCTCATGACCATTTCAGGTCAGTCGTCATAGACCTATCATATTCTTTTTAACCATCTTATGGTATCCGTGGTAGAATACTTGTACACCTCAATTGTATTAAATGCTTCACGGTTATGGGCATTTACCTTATTTCTCATGTTTCATTACTACAAAAATGTTTCAACAAGCATCCTTAACCATGCTCTTTGTATATGTGTACAAGTGCAAAGGGTATTCTAGAATACATAGTAAGAAGGAGAATTTTTGGCTAATGTGGTTTGCACATTAAAAAATGGCTGGAACAATTTGTAGCCACTGCAACATTAGCAAACTTCTTAGTTTTTGTCTTTCTAAAAAGTACTATGTCACTGCTTTTTAGTGTGCATTTTACTGATTACTGTTGAGTGTCTTATATGTTTATTGGACTGTGTTTAGGCCTTAGTGACTTTCCTGTTTATATCCTTTGTCTGTTTTACTATAGGGTTTTTCCTTTTCTTTACTTTCATTGATGGTGTTTTTTTAAAATTCTTTGAAAATTATAAATTATATTTCTGTTTTTTGAAAAATATATAAAGCCAAAATATTACTGCAGATACCTAGACATGCATTTTCTGCAAGTGTCTCGAGATAACCCCCAACAAGGCAGGAAGAGATACTTTTGTTTTTTTCCTCTTTCCACCTCTCAGGTTTTTACAACATGGGATTTTATTTTTAGATTGTTACCTAATTTTTCTGAAGATTTCGTATTTTTTGATATACCTTGACTTTTGTATCCTACTACTTTTTCTGGGAGTGGTTTTTCTTTTCACTGCAGTATATCTTCTAATATTTCTTTTAGAGAAATTAAAAAAAAATAAAATCTCCAAGCTCTTGCCAGCTGGAAAATCAGCCTGTATTTTTTCTTCTTAATGGAATTGGCTGAGTAAAAAATTCTAGGCTCAAAACTGCTAGAACTTTGCAAATATTGTACTGGATTCTTTATGTATTCAGTGTTGCTGATGAGAAGCCTGAGGTCAGTCTGGTCCTAGGTAATCTATGCTTTTCTTTTTTCTCTAGGAGCTTTGAGGATTTTCGTCATATTTGTGTCATTCTTAAATTTTACCTCAGTGTAACTAGGTGTGGATTCAAACATTCCATTTGGCATGAAGGGTGCCCTTTCAGTGTGAAGGTTCATGTTTTCAGTTCTGGAAAGTATTGTTATTGATTTGCTCTGCATATTCTTTCCATTTATTCTTTAATTCAGGAATTATAGTTGGTTGGGTATTTACACTTCTGGCTCCAATTTCCATTCTACTCAACCATTCTTTTCTTTTTTTGTAGTTGAAACATAATTGATTATACATATCTGTGGGGTACAGCATCGAATATCAATACCTGTGTACAATATGTGGTGATCAAATCAGGATAATTCATATATTCATCATTCCACAATGTAATGGTTTTTTGCGGCCCTTTACCGATTTGTCACTGGCCCCCTCCCCCTCTCACTTCCCCACCTCTGGTGGCCTCAGTTCTGTCTCTCGTTTTGAAAGTTCAATGAATTATTGTGATTGTTGTGTCACTCTTTCCTTCTTTTCTTTCTTTATAGATATTTTTTATTTTTAATTTTTAGCTTTTACTCATGAGTGAGGACATGTGGTATTTCTCGTTCTGTGCCTGGCTTATTTCACACAATATAATGTTCTTTAAGTTCATCCCTGATGCTGTGAATGGCAGGATTTCATTCTTTTTTTGCGGCAGAGGAGTATTCCACGGTGTACCTAGACCACATTTCCTTATCCACTTATCCAGTGATGGACATTTAGGTTGGTTCATTTCTGATTTTTGTTATTTGGGTCTTCTCTCTTCCTTTTTTAGTTTGCTTGGCTATAATGATTTGTGTATTTTGTCTGTCTGCTCAAAAAATCAACTTTTTGCTTCGTTGATCATTTGTGTTGTTTTTTGGGTGTCTATTTCGTTTAGTTCTGCTCTGATCTTAATTATTTCTTTTCATCTACTAATTTTGGCATTGAATTGTTCTCGTTTTTCTAGTTCTTTGAGGTGTAGTGTTGGGTTGTTTATTTGAAATCTTTCTATTCTTTTGATGCAACTCTTTATTGCAATGAACTTCTCTCTAAGTATTGCTTTTGCAGCATCCCACAGGTTTTGGTATGATGTGTCTTTATTTTCATTCATTTCAAGAAATTTTTTGATTTCCTGTTTAATTTCTTCTTGTCCCATAGGTTGTTCAGGAGCATGTGGTTTAATTTCCATGTATTTGTATAGTTTCCAGAATTTTGCTTTTTATTGATTTCTAGTTTTAATCTATTGTGGTCTGAAAAGATACTTGAAATGATTTCAGTTCTTTAAAATTCGTTGAGACTCGATTTGTGACCTGGAGAATGTTCCGTGTGATGATGAGAAGAATAAATATTCTGTAGCTGTTGGCTGAAAGGTTCTGTAGATGTCTGCCAGGTCCAGTTGGTCTACAGTGCAGTTTAAATCCCGCGTTTCTCCTTTGATTTGTTGCCTAGAAGATCAGTCCAGCATTGACAGCGGGGCGTTCAGGTCCCCAACTATTACCATATGGGGGTCTATCTCTTTCTTTAGGTCTAGTCAACACTTCGTTAATACTTTCCACCTCTCCTTGCTCCTTCCATCCACTTGTCCTTTGGGCTGTGTTATGGGAGAACTGGTTCACTCACCACTTCGTTCTTCAGCTTTTTCTCCAGCTGCTGAATTTTTTACTTTCAACCATTAATTTTTAATTTCTGCCATCCTAGTGATCTGTTTTATATGGCTGAAGTGTCCTTTTCCATATTGGGGTTCATGATATCTTTAGGGTGTCACCAGCACCTGGCATATGACTGTTTTTGTTTGTCTAGTTCCTCCCACGCTCATTGCCTCTCCTTGGGAGGAGCTGGGACGTTGCTGAATGCCGTGCCCACCGTGGGGCGCTGGGGCGTGTTGTGGAAAGGCTACTCTTCTTGCTGCTTCTACTTTTTCTTACCCATCACCCTGTGGCTTGGCCTAGGTGGGGCCTCGCTCAGTCCTGCAGTCCTACCCTCTAGTGCTAGGTCAGCCTAGAGCCTGCCTGTTTTGTGCAGTACATAGTTGTATGTCCCTATTGGGCTCTGTTGCTTTTCTTCAATCCTATTTCCCTCCTTTTTGTTGTTCAAGTATTTCTCATAGTCTCTTATCCACCAACAGTATGCC